GAAATTGTGTGCATGGCAGTGAGGATCGGAGTCGGGAGTCTGTCGGCGAGTGGGTGAGTGAGCTGCGTCGCATGTATATGTACGTGCGCGTCGGTCACACGGTACGTTTGGACTGAAACTATAGTTTCAGATCGGTTTTCCAGTTGGTCTCCTTTGGTTTGGATTAAATATAAATGGGCTGACCTCCTAATGTAGACTGGTTTGGTTTGGGTTTTTCCTATTGTCGGCTTGGTCTGGTTTGGTCTGGTCATAGACCAAACGGTCTCAAACCGTTCCAGCCCATGGATTGAGAACTAAATCAGCGACCAGATTCCCTTCCGGATCAAAAAAGCATGCATTGGCAACGTCCTCCTCGTCTTCTCCACTGCCGGTGTCGACCATGCTTCTGCTCTCTCGATGACATGTCCGTGCTCTGGCATGTACCTGATCGGCGTGTACTGCACTAGCACGGAGACACAGACCAGCGTCGACCAAGTTCTTTGGGCGCTCGTCTCGGCTTACTACGACACGGCCATCGTCTGCTCCTCCTCCTCGGCAATCTGGAGCCTTGTGTAGTGCTGCGGCAATGTCCCCCGGCAGGACTGAGCGCTCTGCGTGGCCGCGGCTGTGCGGTCACGGGCCACAAGCTAAGCCTTCTCCTCAACACCCAGAACACCACCGGCATGGACCTGGTCACTTTCGACCGAGCGCAGAGGAAGTTCATGTCCGGCAACGGCGTGAACAATGAGCTGGCAATGGACACGGTGCATCTCAGATGCGGCGGCGGCGGAACCATGACGACCATCTACAGGCTTGGGTATTGCGCCAGGGACATCAAGGCGGCGGACTGCGGGCTGTGTGTGGCGCACTCGGTGGCCGAGCTGCCCAACTATTGTCAGACCGCATGATATACAACAGTTGCATGGCGCTATATGAGGTGTACCGCTACTTCTTCCCGCTCAACGGCGCCGGCGAGTTGGCCGACGAGGTCGGACAGTGCAAACAGGATCTCCTTGACCCGTGATGGATGGAGTTCAGCTATAGTCAACTACAGTGCTTATATCTAGCATTATAGGATGTTCTATGTACGATGCACGTACATTGTGGTGAGTACCATGTGCTTCCAACGCCTCTCTTCTCTTCCCGTAGTAATCGGACACACCCTTGGTTTGAAACTTCAGTTTCAGACTGTATGCGGGTGAATAATTTGGATTGGTTTGGCTTGAAAATACGTACAGTTTGGATTGGTTTGGATTGTAGCATTCACTATTTAGTCTGGTTTGGTTTGGTTGATGCCCTTATACCTGTATGGGTTGGGCTGGATTCAATCTGGATTACAAACTATTCCCAGGCTTAAGTAGCCTCTTATTGAAAACGCCAAAAATATCGGTGTGTATAAAGGAAAAAAGAAGAAGAAGAAGAAGAAGAAAAACTTAGGGTAATATATATATATAGGACATGACTCGCGGCAGCATCCTCGAATCGCATTAACACTTAGGGTGCAACCCTTCAAGGGTGTCCAACACACTCGCGCGTCAATGTTGGCTGGTGTGAAACCGGCCAAGGGCGGTTATGAAATCCCGATCAACTAATAAGGCGAGATCCTGAGTTTTTACCCCGAGATATACGATGCATCCATCTCGATGTCTGTCGTCAGAGTCGTCGCCCTCCATTCTACCGGACCGCCCACACAAAAAGAAGATCACCGCATCCCTTTGGGTCACCGTTGTCTCGCCGATGGTTGCCATGACCACGCCTTATAGCCGTTGCCGCCCCGATGACATTCGCCGGCATCGGTTGGTGGGAGTTGGGTTGCGCCTCGCAATGCGATCAGAGCCGATTTTACTGCTGGCTCGCCGGCTACAGCGATGTAGGCTCTGTGCATCTTCTTATCGTGTGCATGCATGCGTCTTGAAATCACACGCATATGTATGTATGTAGCTACAAGGAAGGAAGGAAGGAAGGAGAGCGCTGGAGAAAGTAAAGACGCGCAACAATCTCACTAAACTCGTGCCACTCACACCGACGTGCGGTGGTTGAAAGCGCGCGTGCAGCTAGCCCTAACGAAGCACGAGTTGGCTACTAGCTACGTTGCTGCCACTTTCCCCCGTGCGTGGTGCGTGGCTTAGCTGCTATCTCGTGCACGAACCAACACTTCATCCATCCATGTGATCAGCTCAAGGGCTCAAGGGAGTGCATGCGACCAATAACCTGCCACTTCCACTCCTTTTTCCTTTTTTTTTCGTTTTTTGGGAAATTGATCTTAAGCAACTATTTACCGGTCTGGCTCACGGCATCCGAGGAAGCTCAGCCAGATACGGTTTCCTCATGGACTTGTGAGGTTTGTGTCCTCCTCCTCTGTCCGGCCGGAATTGGGATTATCTTATGGCCCTCCTCAATGGCCGCTTCTCGAGGATGGCGATCTATCCGGCTTGCGATCGCTGGCGCCTTCTGGTCTACACCGACGACTTACCGACCACTAGTTCTACAAGCTCATGGGTTTTTGTTGTACATGACTTTGGCAGGTTGCGGCGGCGATAGTGACAGGGTTGCCTTATTTTTCTACTCCTCACCCGTGGTGGCTTTCTGGCGGGGAAGATACGAGCTATGCTACTTTGTTTGTGTTGATATGAGGTCTTCATATCACGACAGACAAGTCATAATTCGGCTGGTCATCAGGTGTTTGGCAATGTTGAAAGATGGTGTCGTCGTGGGGCAACGCATGAGCAAATTTTCCTTCAAGCGAAGTCTCTGTCCAGCTCCTTAGAGTGGTGTGTATTGCGTTCTTCAAAAGCCTTTTCTACACCTCCACTATCAGGAATGGTGCCAAGACACCTTTTTGGGATGCACCATGGGTCCCTGGTCGGGAGCATTTACGATGCTTCGTCTCGAAAGAATTGGAAGATAAAGAAGGCTCTCTTCAAGGATGCTTGGGCCTCCAAGGTCAAAATTTCCATCCACTTCATATTAGAGCATCTCCATCAATTTGTGGCCCTTTGGACTACCAATCATGACTTTCACCTTGAAGAGAATGCCAAAGACGACATTGTGTGGATGCACACAAGCAATGAGCAATACCCCCCGTGCGGCCTCTGCCTATGCGGCACAATTCTTCAGTACTTTCTACTCTCTCATGGAGCACTCGATATGGAAGGCTTGGCACCACCAACAGTCAAGTTCTTTGCTTGGTTGGCCACTCAAGATAGGATTGGGACTGCCGATATATTGGCTAAGCGTGGATGACCAAATTGCAGACTTTGTCGCCTTAGCAAACAGGAGCAAGAATCCGGAGCACACCTCTTCTTCAAGTGTCGCTTCACCATCCGTCTTTGGAACTTAGCGAACGAGTGGCTTCATCTTGAGAGCATTGATACCTCCACTTCGCACCTTGAGAGCTCCGTCAAGGATTAGTGGACTAATCGTTCCGACATCAACACCGCCAATTGCAAGGCCATGGCATCCCTCACAATGCTCATCAGTTGGACCATATGGAATGAGAAGAATGCCCGGGTGTTTAGCCACAAAAGCACTCCGCCTCCAATCTTGCTCAATAACATCAAAGGAGAGGCCCGCCTTTGGATCTCCGCGGGTGCAAAAGAATTGGGGATCATTCTGCCTGGAGAGTAATCATTTTTGTAACTCGGGGCTTGTAACTCACACTTCATTCTCCTCTTCATTAATACATGAAGCAAATCTTCTGCCTCGGTTTAAAAAAAGGCTACGTATGATTGGGGTTTGCCCTGGATCTACTCAGTGTTGGAAATAATGCATCGGTTCAGAGAATTCCAAGTCTGATGCTTTGGGCATATCCTGTCACGTAACAAACTGAAACTTCATGCACACACGTTGCTGGCCGTTCGGCAAGCTGCAACTCCTTCCCGAGTCCTCTGCTAGGACGTGAGCATTATCCTGCTGTTCCTCCCGATTCTCCTGGTTCCAACGAGTGCACCGCGCTTCGCTCGGCAAGACGTTTCATTGAAACGTTGCTCGTTGGACTGCTTCCTTTCTGATCTCTATAAATGGTAGAGAGCATCGGGAGAAATACACAACACATCTTCATCTCCTTCCTCACATATCACAAGTGCTGAGCCGCCGTCGGAACGAAGCCGGCCGTGCTGTCCGTCGTGCAACGGCAGCCCGGCGAGCGGTGTCTCCGTGAATCCGGCTGCATCCTTCGACCCTGCACGGGGGCGGTCTAGAGTTTTCTGGGCAGCGTCCGCGCGACCGC